CCCCAAAACCCCAAAACCCCAAAACCCCAAGGCTCCAATTTAGGATAATAAAAGCAGATATAAAAATAATAATAAATTATAAAATGCTTTCCAAGAATAGAAATCATACAAAGAGACAAGGCTCAACCAGACTTGCTGCTATCAGAGTTTAAAACATCGACGACTCTCTTGAGGTAATATTTGAGTAATATAATAATTTCCTAGTGGTTCGGCAACTACACTCCTGATGGAGAAACTCCAATTATACTTATGCCATCAAGATCATCTTGTGCTCCTTATATCTATGTGTAAGTAAATAATTATATAAATTCTATAGCCCTGAAGGTACATATGCTGTTATTACTAAGCACGGAGAGTTCCTTGAAATCAAGAAAGAAGGTGGTGTCTATTTCTGCATGCCCTATGTATATCTTAAATCACATTAATCTTCATTCGCTTAGACCTAAATTCAATACTTGGTAACGCAATAAAACGTAGTCTTCGACATGGAGGTTAAATCTTGCCCAACTTATGACAATATTTTCATCTATATCGATGTAGCTGCTGTTTTTAAATGCAAAGATGATGATGCATCAATTGAAAGATTTGTCTACAATATCAGTATCAACCAACTTAACAAGTAGATTAAGGCTGCCATTACTGAGCGTATTAGGGTTCTTGGTAATTATTCTAAAATTTGTAACAGATTCTTATAGCCAGAGGAAAGACACATCTCGAGGTCTATCAAATCAAGGGTAAAGAGCATACTTCAGAGATTATTGAATTCTTGAATAAGATGTTCCATAATAAAGGACTAGAGTTTACCAGAATCATTGTTCAAAATGTTAAGCTTCCATAGGAAATCGCTCAGCCATTAGATCAAAAAGCCTAATATGGTTCAATGAATGACTTTGAAAGAACTAGACATGAATACGACATGAGAGTTCTAAATGATAATAAGGAGTTAGAAATTATCAAGCAAACTAGACAACAACAAAGACTACAGTTTAATGAAGATTTCAACAGACAACTAGCTTTAGTTGAAAGAGAACTTAAAGTTATCTAGGCTGAGGGTCAGAAAATGGTCAGTGAAATCAAAGAGAAAACCAAGGCAGAAGAAAAAAGAATTCAAGCTGAGTCAGAACTTAAAGCAGCTGAAATAAGAGCTGATAATCAAATTCTTCAAGCTAAATTGCTTGCTCAAGGATTGGCTGAGGCTCAAACAACATAAGTTTCAGCTGAAAACTAATCGAAACTAATCCTGGCTGAACAAGAAAGCAAAGTAGCTGAGAAGAATTCAGATGCTATCAAGATTGAAGGTCAAGCAGAGGGAGAGCTTTCAAAGGTGTTAGGTTTAAGAAGACTTTATGAATATCTCAATAAGAAATTAGACATCGTTAAACAGATGGGATAAAATCCAAACCTAAAGATATTTGGAAACTCAGACGACTCATCACTATCCCAAATGGCAGCTTATGGCATCATCAATAGAAACAATCTTTAACAATGATGGACCCTTCTCATTTAATATTTCGACCTTATTATTTTCAATTATCCTTAAATTCTCAGAATCCTAAAATTTAATCCTATGGGGTTTTGGGGTTTTGGGGTTTTGGGG